CTTTGTTCAAAATCCGAATGTGTATTCCTTTCTCACCAAATTGCCCGACCTTGCCATGCCGCAAGAAGTGCATAGGCAGTCGTTGGTGTTCGGGTGTTCGGGAGATGGAGAAAAACAGGAGTTGGAGAGTGGAAACATGTATCGACAGCTGTACCTTCTCCCGCATATACAAACGTTCGTATCTACATACATGTATATATGAAGGCTCGTAGTCAGCTGACGTTTTTTTGGTAGATTGTAGTGTCACCCGAATCCTCGCCTGAGCTTCTCGAGTGCGACTCTCTCTCTCTCTCGTTCTCTCTCGTTCTCTCTCGTTCTCTCTCGTTCTCTCTCTCTCTCTCTCTCTCTCTCTCTCTCTCTCTCTCTCTCTCTCTCTCTCTCTCTCTCTCTCTCTCTCTCTCTCTCTCTCTATACATATATCATATATATACACATAACACAATGTCTTTAAGGTTACACATGCATACATCCATTTTATGTATTTGTTTGCGTACGTGTTTGCAGCAGTATGTATGCAGGAATCTGTATAATTGTATATACAGAAAAAGTCTATATACTTCTTAGCTGTACAGCTGCATATATACATGTTTATGTAGCTGGATGAACCTAGATTTCTAGATAGGAAGATCTCCCGCAATCTACCTATACCTACTTATGGCTATATGTCTGTGCGCCTATTAACTATGGCCAATACATAAACTTTGCCTGAAAAATGATATTCATCCAAATATTGCAATTCCCACATATATATATATACATATACATATACATACACATGTATACATATAAATATACATATATATATATACATACACGTACACAAATCTTCGCATACAGCTGTATAGCAATACAGCTGCGTAGCTGGAAGGAAATATAGCTGTGAAGCTGCATAGTCATGTACCTCTGCATCTGGGCAGTCTGGGCACCTATCTATATCTGTTTCTACACATACATGCACATATGTGTATGTATATATATATATATGGGTATATATCTATATATATATATATATATGCATACTTATGCATCTATTTGTTCATACCGGTGCGTGTGTGTGTGTGTGTGTTCGTATATGCCCATATAGCTACATACCTCAAGATCAAAAACTCTCAAAATCTACATGCCCATCCATCTATCCATCCATCCATCCATCCATCCATCCATCTACATATCGATCCATCTATTTATCTACGTATCTACCCGTCTATCTATCTATCCATCTGTATAAATAAATGGATATATATATATACACACACACACATATATATATATATATATATATTAATATATTAATATATTAATATATTAATATATTAATATATTAATATATTAATATATTATATTAATATATTAATATATAAATATATTAATATATAAATATGTTAATATATTATTATATTAATATATTAATATATTAATATATTAATATATATATATATATATATATATTGTTGGCACATGTATGTAGCATCCTGCATGTGTGCGTGCCCGTCCGAATTTGTTATTGCACACGAGCCCGCGTTTAGCTTTTTCTCCATATCCCACTGTCAACATGGACGTGTGCATGCTCGTACATGCCTGTTTTTGTGCGGGTGTTTATCTTTGTATCGCTTGCTCCGAATTGCACTTCCACACCTGCAGGTACATACATATGCAGATATGAGTAAATAAGAAAATTTGCGAATAAGTACATAAATCAGTAAACAAGTGAACAAATATACATAAGATATACAAATACATACAAATTGACATCTGCATAAAACATGAATACAAACATAAAAAAACGAATAAATATACATGAGCAAATATATGTTATTTATATACATATATATATATATATACATATACATATACATATACATATATATATATATATATATATATATATTTATATATACATATATATATATATATACATATCTTTAAGTACATATCTATACACACATATATACATATATATATATATATATATGTATATACATTTACTATCTATACAGCCGCACATAACGGCACATGTGTGTTTGTTTATCTCTCTTCTGCTTAAGCTTATGCTTCAATGCTACGATGCGCACCACCCTGACGGACCCTGGCTGAAACTCGACAGCTCTGCGCGCCAGCGCTTCAATTCTCATGTGGGTTTGCAAGCAGCTTCGGGTACATGCACAAGGGCGGTTCCATCATCCTGGAATCATAAAGCTTTCTGCCTGATGTCTGCGCTGAAGCCCAGCAGATTCCGGAGCTTAGGCGCCATGTCGCCCAGTGGCGCGGAAGCACGTCCCTCGACTCGTCTGCAGATTCTCCGCCCGTGCTTCAAGCGGGCTTTCGTCACTTGGAGGCTCACTTGCTGGAAAGCTTTGGGAAGGAAAGGGCGGTGGGGGTGGTGCTGGATTGGTCCGGACAGTGCCTTTGATCAGATGTCCTTTCCCTAAGGGTCCATGTGCCCAACTAGCATATACTTAGGCCCAAAGTATCTTTATAAAAACAACTCTAAAGGCCTAAAAGTATATACTATTTGGGTGCATGGACCCTTAGGGTTTCCTGAGGGTGTTCTTTGTAATTAGGGGACCAGGCATCAGGAGCTACTCCTGGATTTCGGGTTTTGAGGTTTTAGGGTTTAGGGCTAGGGTTAGGCCTGCTGCAAAAAGGGTTTAGGGTTTAGGGTTTAAGGAGCTCGTAAGATAATGCGTATTGTGCGTACTTAGCCTCAGCATCTCGCCACGAGTGCGATGTGCTTGGGGATTCTGGCCGGGCGAGCACTAATCAAGCCTGTGGAAAAGGGTTTAGGGTTCGCTGCCGGCATACACTGCAAGTCCGTGCTTAAAAAGGGCTTAGGATTATGGGGACCAACACTCATCACTGATGCAGCAAACGCACAGACGCATAGGTGTTCGGTTGGGCCTACGGCCCTACCCGCTCCTTGTGTCCATTCTCTTGCAATTCGCAGAAAGCTCGGCTCCATTTCAGGCCTAAGGCATGTGGATCTTTTTGGGGAACAGTGTTTTTGCTATCTTGCTTTTCCCCTTTCTTGCATCGCTTGTCACGTTTGCCATGACTGGTGATGTAGTTTACGGGGATGTGCTATCGCGTCGGTCTCACGCTTCAGCTCTTTGTCGGTGAGGCCTCTGAACCTGGACGTGGCAAACGGGTGTGAGTATCGTTGAGGAAGCTTGGGACGGTATTCGAGTACTATATTAGAATCCGCAAGATTATTCTTTGGGCTCCTGGAGGACACCGATGTGTAACCAGAAAGTATCTCTATTTGGCTTTGTCTGCCTCGACCTCGGCTCTTTCGTTATGTCTCTCGTGTCTGCTGGTTTCGGTCACGCGACTCATCCCAGCCACTCGCTTCGCTAATCTGACCCTTGCATCCACCGATGTCCACTCATCAGTCCGTCTGTTTGTGATTCTTTGCCTTTGTTTCCGTCCTTTCTAGGCCTATGTCGTGCGTGCAATATCCCCTGACTTGAGTGGGCTCCTGTGCAAGGAGGGGCATGAGAACAATTTCGTCTAGTGTGCCCACATGAAGGATGCACCAGCATACATCCACGTGTGCGACCATGCAAGCAATCTGCAGACGCAGGCACAAGAAACACACGCACACACACACACACAACCACGTCCAACTTCAGCAGCTTTGATTCGACCCATACGCGATGAAGTTGAAGTGTGTTTCTATGTATATTGATGCAGTACCTACCTGTGGGTAGCAGGTGTTGCATATTGGTTTCGTACGTGTCCGTCCACTTCCATGTATCTGTATGCAAATGCATCCCCACTATGTATGTGTATATATATATATATATATATATACTTATATTTGTACACACACACACATGCAAGTTGTTATGCACACTAAGCTCATTGTACATAACATACACATATACATGTATGCATATATGCATTTGTGCATACATGCATATTTCCATATTTTCATTTCCACATATATGCATATTTGTGACAACAGATGTGTACAAATACGTGCATATGTGAATGTTTGCATACATGCATGCATATATATATGTATATATATATGTATATATATATATATATATACGCACGTATACAGCTGCGCACACGCACACACATACACAGGTATACAAATATACACATATACATGCATTGATGTATGTGTATGTGTGTATATATATATATATATACGTATTCGTGTGTATGTGTATGTATATGTAAAGGTATAGGCATATGTATATATATATATATATATATACAGACATACATGCATGCATGCATGCATGCATGCATGCATGCAAACATGCACACACACACACACACAGGTACAGACGCCCACGCACATACATACATACACACACACACACACATACATAGGCATACATACACATACATGCACGTACATACACATTCTTACACATACATGCACATACACCTAAAAACATACCCGCGCACACACACACACACACACACACACATATATACACATACACATACTCATATGTATGCACATGCACATTCACATGCGCATACGCATGCGCATACGCATACACATATACACACACACATACACACATACACATACACACCTACACGCACATACACATACATACATACATACATACGTACATACATACATACATATACATACATACATAGAGATACATATATAGTTATGTATATACGTATAAATATGCGATCATATGTATATTTACATACATATGTACATACAGTGTTAATGCCAGTGCAGGCATGTGGGTACGCTGCGTGTCCAGCCGGTTCCTCCAGGTAAGGTAATGGTAGTCAATGCCACATGCACGGAATTTTTAACTTCCATAGTTGCAGGGCGAAGGTGGCTTGAAGCAGCTTCCCTGCGCTTCATGACACGGCTTCTCGGCTTTAGTTGAGGGTTGTCAGTGCTCTGCAGCGTCCAAATTTCCTGACCTTGGCCGTCCATAATTGCTTTGCTATCCTTTCCGGGCTTCAGCCGGTGGGATTCAAGTCGCTCAAGTCGAATCATACAGGAAGAGAAGATGTGCAGGGATTTGAAGACAGCAAGCACAGCCGAGTCCCCCGGCCTCTCCGCATGCATGGAACAGCAGATGGGCGCTGGCGCAGAGTCTGCAGACGACGGGTCCGGGTGCTGCTCGGGCTCCGAGTCTTCCTTCTTTCTTGGCGGTAGGTTGCCTGCAGTTTGGTTCTGCGACGACACGGACGATGACAGCAACCGCTCTTTTGATGCGGTGGGGAAGACCTCCGAGAAGAAAGAGGTTAAGAGTATCCTTGACGGCCTCTCGGAATCCCCTGCTGCTTCGAAGGATGAGGAGCTGGAACCTGCACAGGAGAGGGTTGAGAAATCAGCGTCTGTCTTTCATGCTTCGGAAAATAACGTCTGCAACGCTTGCAGCACTCTGCTCTTTTATTTCTGTCGGACTGGTTTGTTGCTGGGTGTCCCGGGGGCAGTAAAACATGTGCACCACTTCAGTGCTTCCTATGCTGCTACCTCACCTAAACTCACCCACACCCTTGCCCCCCCCCGCAGCGACGTGTCGTGAAGCTTTGCCTGTCTTGAGCAGAACTGTTGAAACGGTACACACTACGCATCACTACGCTCTAAACCCTCTCTTGTTGGACGGCCATACTTGACGCCCAGAGAACCGTTCCAACTGCTTTGCTGCTGTGCATTCCTTTTCTGTGCAGGAGATTTTTGGGGCTGTGAGTTTTTGTTCTGTCGGTCAAGTCGAGCGGGGTGTGAAAACTCCAAGCTGAGCCCCTAGTGGAAAAAACTTGGAGGAAGCTGACCCCACGGATGCCACGCAGTCTGCTCCGCGTTTTCGGCCTGGAGAGGATTATGAAGTCAGAGGCTCTCCTGGTTTCGTGCTTCACCAGATTGGCCAATGCATTCCGTGCCTCTACCATACCCGCAAGGCAGATGGATGCCATAAAGGCGATGCGTGCGATCACTGCCATCTCTGCACCAAAAGAGAAGCCAAGACACGCCGAAATCGAATTCAGCTGGAGGCGCACAAGGCTCAGAGGCGACTCGCCCGAGCCAGGGCCCAGGTTGCTCGTGCATCGAAGGATTCTGATAGTCAAGAAAGCTAGAGCCATCAAAGGCGAGGCTACGGACGACGCAGAACATGCTTTCTCCAGGGCTTCGGCTTCTTCGGGCCGTTGGAGCTGTGGTTTCTTTCCGCAGCTCCATCTCGCCGGACAAGGCGAATGTGATGTTTCACGAGATGAGACAACTAAGCTTCGGGCAGGGCTTCGAAGGCTTGGTTGAGTTGTGGCTTCTTCCGCAGCTTATTCCAGTCGAAGCCAGGCCATAGGCAAGATCCGGCTGCTCAGCGTTGGTCACGCGGTTTTTTCCGCAGATTTTAAAGCCGGAGCGAGCGCAACTGTCTGGGACGTGACCAGAAACCTCGTCACGACCCTCAGTCAATCTTGCCGGAGAAATCCCTCGAATATCTTCTCCCGCAGAACATTGAGATGCTGCAAGCCTTTTTGCCGGAGCTCACTCAGGCTGTCCCAGTCGGAGCAAGGCAACTGTCTGCGAGGCGGCACGTCTAGTCTCCACGCAATTATCTGAAAAACCCCCCTCGGATTAATTAGTTATGATTGTAGCAGCTAGAACATGTTTCACCCAACAGGCCTTCGGTCTGCAAAAGGGCGACATGTGAACCACGCAGCGTTGAACCGAGAGAGAGAGAGAGAGAGAGAGAGAGAGAGAGAGAGAGAGAGAGGGAGAGGCTTGGCCCCCGGATTGAACGGAGCGTGAGGTCGTCTTCCATGCCGGGCATCCCGGTTTGGAAGCCCCGCTGGTGCACATCGACGCGGCCTCCCCGATCATCTACGACTGGGCTCCGGCCATTCTCACGAATGTCTAACTTGTGGTTGAAACCGGGACTGGCAGCTGAGGTGCTAGGTATTGCTAGATAGATGGCGTGAATTTGACTCAAGGATCAATGCTGAGGCATGCCACTACATACGGCGAGGTAAGCCATGGCTTGTAAGACTCCAAAGTGGCTAACGGCTGAAGATTGTGTTGACTACATTGCTGCAGCTGTTCGCGTAGTCAATGCATATCTGCTGATGACTGTCCATTGTCCGAGAAGTCATCCAAGAAGAGTTGTCAGATGGAGTGCGCATAGGCCGTGTACTTGTACTCTCGAGGCATCAGTCCTGGCAGCAGTAGTAGTGCTACGTAGCAGCAGCAGTGCAGCATCAGCAGCGGCAGCATCAGTACTAGCAGTTGCTGTTGCTGCAGACGCAGCACTATCATCCACACCTAGTCTCTGCACCTGTCTCCTCTCGCCGACCTGTCAATCGAGCTGCCCACATTGATACGGCTACACACGAGCATGCACTGATGTGCACGTACACACGCTCATGCACAAAGGCAGGTGTGCATGTAGACATGCGCACGTATGCACGTACACGTCGAGCCAGGTACTCGTAGCATGTATAAGATGGTCCAAGTATCACGACCTGTTTACACGCACATTTCTGGATACCTATCACCGCAATAGTGTTTTGATTCTGTCTTCAATACAACTTGCATAATTGGTTAATTGTTTATCACTTAGCAGCGATTGCCCCAAGCTGCCATCTACAGTTCAACTCAATTTCTTAATGCGTCCCCTCCCTGCACATACATGTGTGCCGAAGCTTGAAACACATGCAAATACCGTCACTCCCATCATTATCTCTCGTGTATGTATGCATGTATGTAGTTATGTATTTGTGAGTAACAGTTGTCTACGTCTGTACATATTTATGTATGTATGTACCTGTAGCTGTACATATATTTTATACATATATGTATATATGTTGTATATTGTACATGTACAATACACAGAGGAGTGTGTGAACACATTTATGATACTGATAGCAACAATGATTAAAATGAAAGCAAGGAGGAAACACACTCGCATCAATACGCAACATACAGTAAACTGCATGTTAAAACAAGTGCTAGTTTCTAACAAGAATTCATAAGCACAGTTGGAGATCGCAACAACCAAAATCACAACAATCACGGTAATCATAGCATGAGTCGTCAGACGCGCCATGCGGGAGCCAAAAAAGTCATGGATCTGCCTCAGCTGTGCTAGGTGGGTGACAGCAATAGAAATCATAAAAGACAAAGAGTTATTCTAATTTCAATTACTACTACTACCACTACCACTACCACTACTACTGTCCTAAGGCTGTATGAGTTTTCAGCACCACGAGTGCGGCGTTTCCGGGCGTCTCCGCTACGTCCTGAGCCCCTTAACAGAAACCCCGGCCCCCAACCCCAAAAGGCACCTGTTCTACACTGATTGTCAGCTTGTAGCCTGACCAGTCAAAGCACTTCGGAACCGAGAGACCTCGTCTGGCGCAGTCCGAGTTGCAAGAGCATAAACCGGCACCTAGGTTTCACAGTAACCTCGCCTGGCTTTTCCGAGTGTGAGTGCCGAGCCTGGAATAGTGTCGTATCTTACCAAAAATGTTGCAGTGTATTGTGTTCTATTGTATTGCTCTTTTTATGTCATATTATATTGTATGTTGTTGTTGTGTTACGTCAGAGTGTTTACATTTTAATGCGAAGTATGTTGTTGTATTACATAATTTAGTGCAGCATGACAGAATGCGTTTGTCCTGCTGTATTCCTTTCCAGTGTCACCCGTTCTGTTTCCATCTGTTCTACTCTATTCTATCGCATTCTGTTCTCTCCTACCGCAGTCGATTTTCTGTTTCTCTTGAATTGTATTCTATTCTGTTGCATTCTGTTCCATTCCATTCCATTCTTATGCGTTCTATGCGGTTTTGTTCCATTCTGTTGTATTCTATCATATTCTGATTTCCTCTCAGTAGATTCTTGAGTGCTGCTTCGCCTACAAACACACGTGCTGACATCGCCAGCTGTGTTTGCAGGCCAAAAGCTTCACTAAGACTCTTGTGACCCCTGGCGTGCCTGCAGTCAGTAGGTGGGCCAGAAGCTGTTTCCAAGCTGCTTCAAATTTTCAGCTGCAGCCAGGGTGGCGACGTATGAGCGTCAAGATAAATTTTACTCCAATTGCTACTGATTGGGGGCGTCTTCATTGGTTTCGAAGAAAGGCTGGAGTAGCCTTTGCACGCACTGCCATGGGTTCTTGTCGGGCAACGCAGGTCATATGTACATGGGTTCCGCCGTAGGTATGGTTGCTCTTTATTTCAAAGCACACCGGCATCATCAAGGGTATCTTGCAATGTGATTCCCGGAGCTGCTTGTGGGCTTACCTGTCATCAGCAGATGCGGAGCATGTCAAGAGGGTCCATCGTGTCAGCACCAGCATGTGCATCATAGAGTTTTGGAGGGGTGCAAGCCTTCCTCTCTTCAGTGCAGTTGATCGTCGGGGCTCCAGTGCTGGGGGCTGTCAGCAATGCTTTTGTGTTCCACATCCCAGTTGCTGTCGTCCGACCAAAAGACTAGCAAATTCTGCTGCCATTTAAGCTGTCGAGCCAAGGGGAACCGGGGCCACACAGCTCCAGCCAGCAAAAAACCCTTGAAGCCCTTACTGATCAAGGAACACCTAAGAACCTGACGAGGAGCATTCGATTATCAGCCGCGTAGTGCACAGCACACCTTTGAAGAACTACCCTCCCAAATTTTAAGCTAAAGAGAACGAGACTCTAAGCTCCAGACACATCGCCCCACACCCGAAAGCCTTGAAGCCATGTGGAAACGATGCCTGCTGATATGGCTCTCTGGGGCCACGGTGCAGGGAGATGGCGACGGCGACTGGTGGGTCACCTCCGGGTTTCTTGGTGTCCTCACAGTATCCCTTACAGTATCCCTTACAGTATCCCTAGTCTCCCTTATGGTAGCCCTTATAGTAGCCCTTATAGACCCCTGGTGTCACAGTCGCTGAATTTCACTCTGGTGCTTAGTAGACAATGGGGGAATGGATCGCTATAGTAGTCCGTAGATAATCCTCAATAGTAGTCCCCATAACCCATTCCCCCGTTCCTTACTAAGAACCAGACAGTTGGTGAGTCTCCGAATTTCTTTTGCCAGGGGGTCAACGGGATTTGGGGCTCTTGAGATATTCCATTGCGGCCGCGATGGGCGACTGCACTCCGAGTGCTCGCGCATATGCTCGAGGGCGGGCGGGTTTCTTGCGGTTGTGAGACGGTTTTGACACGTGGTGTCCAACTTTATCCGCCGCCGATGCCGTGTATTTACCGTATAATGGGAACTATTCTCGTCATGTACTTGTTGCGCAAACCTTAACCGCGCAAAGAGGATCAGCATGGCCCCTGTGCAGGGATGATACGCACACATCGAGAAGTGTACCAAGGCAAACAGCCTGTTATCGGTGCCATCAATCCCCAACCCTCAGTGTGAGGGTTTGAGGATTTGCTGTCCTGTTTGGAAGCAAGTGTAGGCTGTGCTCGAATAGCTCACCATCAGCCTAAAGCCCAGTGCGTCCCCGAGTGCCTGAAGTTACGGCTTCAGAGCTCAGCGAAAATTTCGAGCCTATGTAACCAACTCACAAGCCCTTGTGCTTCGCTACTGACACGTGTCCTTGTGGTATCCCATGGGCCGAACACCGAGTCATGCGCCGCCAGGTTTATTCTGACAATCGAGTTGGTGCCATCTCTATTGTGAAGGTTTGCTTGTTTCAGTTTCCAGAGCCATTTGCTGTTGAGTGACTCTAGCAGAACTGGCGGTTAAATGCTGTTCAAGGACTCATGTGCATGTGCAGTGCCGGTGCTGCTGCGGCATGTAGGGTTTTTCGTGTTATCTTCATGATTCTGTGTCATGATTGCTAGCGAAACTTATGGTTCTTTTGATTTTTTACGTCAACTGTGTGAACGACGATCCTACCCCTAGATCTCCTTCGCCCCTGCTCCTCTCCGAACTCCCAGGCATTTTGCAAGCGCTGTGCATGCCAAGGAACTGCAAGATTGACTCGGACGGCTGTGCTACAAGCCCGCGGTACCCCTCCAGGTACAACAACAACCGAGACTGCGAGATTGAGGCCTCCAGGGTTTAGCATGGGCGGAAACTCAGCCTCCGTCACGTTGTCGGGCAAAGTATGTCTAGCCGGAACTTAACCCCTCAGGTCGTCCCTGGA